TTTATTCCTCGTGAATCTATTTCATGAATTACACCAGTCCCTCCAATGTAAAACACAGATGCATCATGATGCTGCATCATGATGCTGCCATCTCCATAGTTCACAGTTAGGATGTTATCAGGCTTGTGAGCTTTTCTTTTTTTCCTCCAAATATAACAACAGTCTTTATGACCCAACAATAATATTTTAGTTTTGTCTGTTGGACACAGAAACTGTCCCATTATTTCACTGAACATGACTGCTGGACGTTTCCATCCTGTTCATGTTGGTGTTTAAACATTAATATCCATGTGTATTCCCTATAGAGTCTAGATCCTTATTTTAACTTTGACATTCTCAAATTTCTGGCAATGTTTCCAAATCCAGGACCTTCCAGAGTAAACCTTTGAAAAGCTCAGAAAGATCAAACTGCAGCTCTGCCATCCTCAGGTCAGCCTTCCTGTTATCTGCCTGTCTTGCTCTCTTGCAGTCTGTGTGAACTGTGAGGCGTCTCAACATGCAGTAAACAAATTTCAGCAAAGTTTTGAAACTTGAATAAGTGTGTTATGGTGTGGTGAAGGAGCAAGACAGGGAGGTTAGATTCTTCCACTCTGTGACTTTTATTAATATTCTCATCCAAAGAATTCAAATAAATAAAGCAGTTAGCACCAAAAATATTTTGAAAATATGTTCAGATCTTTGTGCAAATGTTGCATTCTTTAGAAATGTCACGTTGTTTCTTTCACATGGACACGTCTGCAGATCTGAGGTGGATTATTGTTTGTTTACAGGAAAACTTTATGCACAAAAACATTAGTTTTATTAATGATAAAAACATAAACAAATTCATGGAAGATGGTTCTAGTACGGGTTATTGAATACTGCAGGAGGCATTTTTTGAAAACTTGAGTCAACATAAAAAACATAATCTGATAAAAGACAAAAAAAAAGAAATGAAAACAGCTGTTAGTGAACAACCCACATAAAACTGGTTTGTTATTAACGAGGCTGAGAGGCTTCAGGCCCATCCAGATCCAAAGTGAGTGGAATGTTCCTGAGAGGCCTCCAGGACCTCAGAGAGCTTCGCCTTCAGAACCAAATAAGGACCGGAGCAGCCGGAGCCTTCAGAGCAGCAGCGGGCCTGCCAGACCTCCAGCCTCTGTGGATGAAAACGCTGGCAGCCGGCGGCTTCTGATCGAGGCTGGAATACGTCTGCACTGTGTTTACAAGTCACCCTGAAGGGGAAGAGACTGGGTTCAGAACCATAAATAATCAGACAACTGTCTTTAGTGAGGTAAAATTCTGGCTTATGTTGGGAGTGGAGAGGCTGCAAAAATAAAAGGAGAATTAAAGTCCCTAGGCGAGCCTGACTTGTTGCAGACTAAGACTGTGTTCCTAAAATCTGACCGGTGACCTCACTGTGGGGGTGGGCTCACAGTGTCCACTCCCCTCCCTCTGAGTCTCCCCTCAGCATGGTTCATAATCTCCATCACTTTGAAACGTCTCCGCTCTGGAAGCGTGACCGCAGCAGCGTGCTGTGACCCAACAGCTGCCAGATTTTAAAGGGCCATGCCACTCAACGTCGTCCTGGATGGACCCCCTCCCTGGGGGTTTCGGCTGACAGGAGGAAAGGACTTCAACCAGCCGCTGACCATCTCCAGGGTGAGTGATTGGATGTGGTCAGAATGTTCATGTTAGGTGGTAAACATCAGATCAAAGACATTGTCAATCTAAACCTGTGTTTCCTCCTTGGGGGGCCCAGGGCAGGGCGGGCCATGGGTGGGGGTCGGGGGTCGCTCCAGAGGGATCCCAGGTTGGTTTACTGTCAGCATTCTCTTTCCGGGGCGATTCATTCCAGAAACATTCCTGAGTGGCTTGCAGCTTGCACCTGTGCCACAGTGGATGCATGTGGTTTAGATACAAATAGTGGCTGACATCACCGCCTGGCCCGTCCGCATGTCAGGGTCTCTTTAAAAGTGTGGAAGATATTTGTGGAAATAAACTCTGATCTTTAGACGCAATGAAAGCCTGATGGAAAACAGGAAAATGCTGAGTTGTCAACATGCAGCATTCCTGGTAATGCTGGAAACTGAGGAAGGGCAGAAATTTTAATGTTTGTAGATGTTTTGTTACGTTAGTTATACCAACACTGTGCAGTATGTCAACACTACTGAGCAGCTTACCGTCATCTTAAATGGAAATTCTTTGACAAATTAGAAAATAAATCTTCTTTATGGAAAACTGTAACTTTGAAAAAGATTTCCACTGTTTTGCTTTTCTTAATGTTTCAACTCACCAATCGGATTTTCAAATAAGATAAATAAAACCAAAGTAAATGGGAAAAAGCAGTTTTTAATTTGTGTAACTATTTATTACTGAAAAAACAATCCTGTGTTAAAAAATAATTGCCCTCTAAAACCTGTTAACTGCTGATGCCGTCCGTCTCTGTGGCAGCTGCCATCAGCAACGGGACACGAGTCGTTTACATCACTGAGGAGGAATGTTGGCTCTTCAGATCCATTCAGTCACATCAGAAGGTTTTCAAGCATCCATGGCTTTTATAAAGTCCTGATCGAATTATCTCAACTGCATCTAAATCCAGACTTTGACTAGACCCATCCAAGAGAGGTGGACTTCCTGGTGTTCTTGAGGTTTGCTTAAGGTAAAAAAGAAATGTTTAGGATTTCTCCTTTAGGATTTATTTGGTGGACAACAGAATGTGTGGTCTTATCAAATACAGCAGCTGAGCTTCCATTACAAGTGTGCACAAGACTTTGTTGATTAAGCAACTTCAGTGTTTCCATTAAATAAGAAACATAATTAAAGTTACGTGTGGATAAGTTTGTTCACCCGATAAGTCTTTCAGAAACATTCTTCTGATCATATGCTTTGTGTGATGTCAAAAGAAGTGTTTCCATTCCATTACTAATTTGGATTCATCTGAAAAACTGCCTCATCGTAGCGCAAAAAAACATTTTAGTGAAAAACTGTGGCCTGTTTCCATTAAGCAAATGTATTTTTGTAATTCCAATTTGCTCAAATTTACAGTCACTGGAAACACGACTAGTGAGTCATGCAGGTCCTGAAGCAGCAGAGCAGCCCAGACCATCACACTGCTACCACCGTGTTTGAATGTCTCCATGATCTTTTCTCTGAAATGCTGTAAATTTTACAACAGATTTAACAAGACGCAGAACTTCTAACAAGTTCCAAAAACATTTTTTAAAAAGCTAATAAATACTTCATCTTCTAGAATGAAACTAAAGGAAAAACCTAAGAGGAAAAACGAGACAATCTTCAACGGCATATTCAACATTTTTCCATATCTACGGACCACACAGGCAAACCGTCTGAATCAGAGCAGCATCGTCTCCTCTTGTGTTTGGATTAATTTGCGAGGCTAATTCCCCAGAGTTACAGAGGCTAACATGAGAAGAGATGAGTAATCCGAGTCCCTGCCGGGTTAGTGTTCTTCTATATTTAGGGAAAGACCTCAGGAACTAAATAAAAGGGTAGTTCTATGGCTGACTGGACCCAGTGACCTCACACCTGTTGTGTCAGTGGACAGTGGGCTGTGTGTGAGAGCAGTGAAGAGAGAGGAATGAGATGGTTAAGAAACGACAGAGGAGAGGGGAAAGCACGGAGCTCAGATGACACGTTAGAACCGAAGCATCTCATCGAATCTGAAAGCGGATAATTAAAAGTCGTGAAGCGAAGGGATTCTTCCTGCAGCGAACTCTCCAGCTCCCCTCGCTGCCATGTTTGGTCAGGAACATCCTGCTCTGAGGGCCTCCCAGTTGCTGGTGGAAAGTAAACACAAGACGACAAGGATCTTTTTTTTTACCCTAGCTAACTGCAACATCAGAACACACACACACAGACACGTGCAAACACACACAGATCACATTCACAACAAACGCTGGATAACTTTCTCCAACTATGAGAATGTGTGGATGAGAGGGTCGACAGTGGAGGGAAACAGGAACATTTAAAATGTGTCTCAGAGAAAAAGTTGCTGGCAGTTCTGGGAAGCTCATGTCACACATCAGTAACTCGAATAGTGATAATGGAGTTATTATTTGTAAAACTGTGCTTTTAACTTTACTGCATGAACTTTAACGTTCCTTCTTGAGAAGAATTAGTTTAACTTAGAATACTTTCAAAAGGCATACATTTAAAAGGTAAAAAAAAAAAAAAAACATACAGCTCTTTGCTGAAATACTTTTTTCTGCTGGTTGGATTTTATGACCTGTTCTACATTTTAATCCACTGCAGCTCTAAGAGTCACGGCTTGATTTGAACACACAGACGAATTATGACATCTACTCTGGATATTATCTGTATAACAATGAAATAATGAAGTGAAGAAGTAAATGATTCATTTTAATCAGAACAGATAAATCAATGAATTAAAAATAAAAGGAGTTAAATTAGTAGGCTAATCTACATTAGGAACTATGACTGAAAATAAACAGGTTTAATAAAAAAAAAAATGTTTTCATGTTTGAATTTTAACATTTGAATTGTTCAGATGTGAACACAAACTGATGATAGCCAAACGGCAACAAATCTTTGTAGCGACTGTCCATCTGTGTATTTTTAGCCCATGATGTGTGTTTGTTGGGGGTGTTTGGAGTAGTGAATGAACAGCCACAAGCAGTGTAAAGTCTGGATTCACATCCTGTATTTTAGCAGTGTTTAAAAAAAACCTTGGTATGTTATAACTCACTCCATCCCTGTAACCCATGCACACACACACACACACACACACACACACACACACACACACACACACACACATACACACACACACATGCGCGTACACGCACAGCAGTGTAGATGTGATGATGTCATGATCAGCCTTCCTCTCACTGAATATAGTCTGTAAATCACAGGATGTTTTTCATTGTTATTTTTCTGATGGATTTGTTTATTTATGTTTCTTTTCTAACTTTATAAAAGTGAAAATCTAAATCTGGACGACTGAACCCAGTCACTATCACAAAATGAAAACATGCCAGCTGGGTTGTGCTTTTATTAAAAAGACGTTTCACAAAACCAAGCTGTAATGAAATGAAAAAAAAAAAAAATCTATAAAGATCATATCTGAACAGGAATAAAGTTTGCAGGTACTAAATCAGAGGAGGGGTCTGACAGCAGGCCTTCAACAGATCCTCTCTGCACTTTCATCCACCGTTATTTATAGTCAGATGACCAAGTCTTAGTTGAGTGTAGCTCAGCTTGCTACGTCCAGCAACGCATTACGACAGAGAGCGGGGGTCATTCTCCGGGTCGTATCCGTGGGAACGCTTGGCTCAGATCTTCTTTGATGCTGCTCTGGAAATACTTTCTCATCTTCATCACTTCCTGGTTATCAGATTACATATTCCATCTGTGTGCTGTCACAGTGAATGCTTTTGTTGTTGCCGTGACTACGAGTTCCTCTGGTTCCACACGTTAAATCCCAGCAGGGCAATGGAGTTCAGAAACTGGGCCGCTGCCTCTGCAGCATCCTGGTGAGACGCCTCCGCTTTGCTGACTGAACTGAAATGCAGATTGAGGTCATGAATAAATTGTCTTTGCTGTTATTTGTCTGAATAGTTGGGCTCTGTGGTGGAGTCTGGTTTTTGTATTTTGGAGACATATTTAGGCCAGGTGAAACTCAGAGAGAGAAAAGCGTTCTCCCAGAGGGGAACCAGGAGCCCCAGCCATCAACAACAGGGAAAAGTGATGACATGAAACTGATGAAGAACAGACAAAAGGTCTCTCCACCATCTTGAAAGAATTTATGAAGAACAATATGTATGAAGAACAACATAATCAGGAGGATGGACATACAAACCGCTCAAAAAAAGTTCTTTGCTGCTGCAATATGGAAACAAAATCAGCCCAGTACTCACTGTGAGCACAAGGTAGAATATACTATTAACCTAAAACAAATGACTTTGAACAGTGTATGTGGAAAAAAAAAAAAAAAAAAAAACGAAAAAATGAAAAGGAAGCAAAACAATAACATTCCTGCCTCAAAACAAAATCACAACAGCTGACAGGAACAGGAGCGCCACTGAGATCAGAACCCAACATGGACCGGGAGGTTCTGATGTGTTCTGAAAGCGTCTGGGATTATGAGACAAGACAAAAATGATCATAACCTTCACTTCAAAAGATGAACCTGAAAGGTGTTTTCATTTCACCTCCTCTCTATGTCATCCTGTTTACAGCAGGAAGGTATCAGATTTCAGTCCATAAAGTTTTCATCAGGTTTTCTGTGACAGATCAAAACATGGCAGTAAAGAAAAGATGAATTTGAAGGAAAATTTTTATATGAATGTTTCTGAACCTCAATTCGAAAATGTTTGCTTCTGATTGGATTTAGGCTTTTACTTTGACTAGGCCACTCTCATATTTGAATGCGCTTCGCTCAAAATCCTGTTTTTTTTTTTTATTTTATTTTTTTTTTATCTCTATCCCATTTTTGTCCAGGATGGTTCTATATCTTACTCTGTCCACACTGACCAGATGCTCTGTCTCTCCTCACAGCATAATGCTGCCACCACCACCATGTTTAACAGGAGCTGTGTTTCCATTACAAATGTGCACAAAACTTTGTCTGTATTCCTCTAATGTTGGAAAAAATACAACACAATTTTGCAATTGCAGTGTTTCCATTAAATAATAAATGCAATTAGAATTACACATGAATAAATTTGTTCACATAAAGTTATTGAAAACATGCAGAGCCATCATCCTCCTAAAACTTCCTGTCATATTTATGCAGATAAACTTTTTTGGGGGGACGGGGAGAGAGGGAGGGTGTGTACAACATTAAAACCTCTGATACGAATAAGACACAAAGCAAAAAGAAATTCTGATTTTGCTCCCAGGAACTCCTTCTGCTTTCCTCAATCAGACTGAAAACGTTCAGAGGTCACAGTTTTCTCATGACCCCTCCAACTTGTGACAGTCGCCACTTTTCTGAATGTCGTGGATTCTGTGTTTTTGTTTGCAGTTGAAGCTTCAAATAGACTAGATTATTTGTTCTTGTTGGGTTTTATTGATATTGATTGAAATGGATAAACTAAATAATCAGAAGATGAAGATTAGGTTTAAAAGTTCTGCTTCCTTAGAATACAGACTGCAGATAAGACAAAGTATAGTAATATAAATAGAGTTTTTAAGGATTTATTGTTAGTTCTCTAAAACCACTGACTTAATAATCTACAGTAAATAACTGTATTTATTGTTAGATCTGCATTTCCTGAATCACTTGAATGCCTTGTTCTGCAGAATAGTTAGAAAGAAATGTTTATTTATTAAGTATTAATTCTGCTGATCTAACAGAAAATCATAATATCTGCTCTATATGCTGAAGTGATGCTTGATTATTTTATTTTGATTGTGAGATTCTTATAAATAATAGAAATAAGTAAATAAATACATAAATAAGCCAAACCACACACTCATACTCACACACAACATAGGAGACTAAGACTGAAAGTAATATATGAATCTTATAAACATGTTTCTTCTGCTAGAAGTAATATTAATGTTTCAGAGACCTGACGTCATCTTCTACAGAGCTAAAGGTTAGCATGATAGTAATGAGGTCATCACTAAAGATAAATCCTCAAAATAGCCAAACTAATGTACAAAAGGTTGTTCCACGACTATAAATAGGGTTTGATTCTGTAATGTAATGTTTGATCCAGTAAATAATTTTTCAACTGATTATTTAGAAGAGTTATAACCTTTGACCTGACACTTTTGATGTAAAACATTAACAACAGCAGATTTCTTGTCCAAATGGAAACTTCTTTTACATTGTTATGTTTATTTTTGAATCTGATTTCTTATCAGAAACAATCTTCCTGGTTGAATTAATTCATTTAACCAATGATATAACAGAACATCTGCACTATTGTAGAGCAAATTTTCTTCTGACACTGGAAGGCAGCCGGTCCCACCATGCTGTTTGCTCAACATCTAGATTGGACGCAATGAATGAAAAATAAGGTGAAATATAAATTCTACCTGTTTGTCTTCTTCTTCTTCACATCCAGATCACTCCCGGCAGTAAAGCATCCGGGGCCAACTTATGTGCTGGGGACATCATCCTGGCCATCGAGGGGGCCCCGGCTGCAGACATGCTGCACTGTGAGGCCCAGAGCAAAATCAAGGAGTGTTTCAACCAGCTCTGCCTCACTGTGGAGAGGTGAGCACCATGAACACACACATACATTGCACACACACTAACAGTTTGTCTTTACTGACTTTGTATTGAACCCCAAGAATGACTTTTGTTGATGAGGCCATAAAAATAAACTGAACTGAGTCTGGAAATATTGTTAACTAGGAATCTGTCCAGGATGTTACCTGCATCCAGTAGTTATATCTGTACATCAGTGTATATGCTGAAACTCTCTTAGTTAAATTTGATGTAATGGATTTGTCAGCTGTTGCTGCAGCAAAAGTTCCATGTTCCATAAGGATTTATTTATAGTTTGTGGTAATGTCTTCTACATTTCTTCATTAAAGTGTAAAAATGTTCAGCTCCCAATAGAATGTGTTTAAAGTGTCTTTCAAAGGTTCAAAGACGTTGGGCTCTGACAGTTTATTAAAACTTGTCAAAAACATGCCTGGAAAGTTGCTTCTATTCTTTCATACATGTTTGAGAAATCTTTTAATCTCCATGGCAACCATTCAGCTGTGCAAAACCCCTGGGTGGACCAAGCTTCGCCTTCAAGACACAGCTCCTCCCACTCAGCTCCTAGTATAGACTAGTATGTAGCATAGTTACTTAATTATGCTATAAATGGCATATGTGCCTGGAAAATAGATAATATTGCCTATTTAAAACATGTGTACTCTAAGGAGATCTGTGTGTAATTACCAGGAACGAATCAAGGCTGTGGTCCCCGCGAGTGGTGGAGGATGGAAGAGCTCATCCGTTTAAACTCAACCTGCAATCAGAACAGCAGGTGTGTGAGAAATATTATTTCAGTGCAACAAAAGGAAAAGTCCGGCTTTAAACAGTTTTCCTTCCTGCAGGAATACAAGCCGATCGGTACTGCTCACAACCGGAAAGCTCAGCCGTTTGTGGCAGCAGCAAACATCGACGACAAGCGGCAGGTGGTCAGCACGTCCTACAACACTCCCATCGGCCTGTACTCCTCCGGCAACATCCAAGACGCCATGCAGGGCCAGATCCGAGGCCTGGTGCTACCCAAGCCCGAGAGGTGCTCACAGATCACAAATCATTTTCAACAGCCATTGGAGACAGTAATAATAATAATAATGATAAAAATAATTAAAAACGTTGCAGTAGTTCCACCAAAAATCTCAGAAAAACTCACAAGTGGAAAATTTTCAACTTTTGAAACTCAGAAATTTCCCATTATTTTCTATAAAAAGACTTTTTAGCAGAAACAAAGGCCTTAATACGCTGTAGTAAGAAACTGATGAGTCGAATAAAATTCCTCATTATTTATTTCCACAGACTAAAAACTCCTTTTAATTATTGATTTAGCTCAACGTGTTATTTAATTAATCAACAACAAAATAAAATGTCATAACAGTAAAGTTGGTGCCCGCCATCAGGCAGCACATTCAGGATCATAACGTGCCAAGTGGGAGTCTGATCTTCTCATCCTGACCTGTCTCAGGTTAGAAGTGAAGCGTCTGCATGCTGCTCTTCTCAGATCTCATCCAGGATCACTTTAATACATTCTTCATTCTTTTTTAGTTTAGGGTTTAGGGTTTTTTTAGTTCCACATTCCTGGTCATTATTCTTTTGATTGACCCTTGACCTGCCACTGAGGCTGAGCTTTCTGATAGTGGGAAATAGAACTATTTTTAACTCCAGGATATCTTGGTAGTCTTTGGACGTCAGTCTGCCTCGAACAGATCCAAGTTTTTCCATCCCAGATGCAGCAAAGCAGAACCAAAATAAAAACTTCAAATCTAAACAAAAACTCGTCCTCTCTTCTACAGAGGGAAAAAAATCATGGAGCTGACGTAAGAGACCAAAATGCTGTGGTTTTATCTCATCGGTTTAAAGGACATTGTTCCAGGAACTTTGGAGTGTCAGTGTACATTTTGTTAAATTCCAGGGTTTTTTTCTGTCAGTAGCATTTCACTCCTGGGTTTGGGTTTTATGGTTGAAGATGTTTGAAGGCGGTACATTAAAAAAGAGACAAACCTTCACTGTGGAGTTCAGCTGCAGCTGAATCCTCTTTGCTTTCACATCCTGGGAGCTTAGCTTCATGATACTCTAAGAAGAAATTATATTAGCATATTATCACATATTTTTAATTGCATGTCTGAGGTTATCGAAAGTGTTTGAACCTCATCTTGTAAGATTTTGGAAACAGCACTGATGTTGAAAAGAATCCAGAATTCATTCCTTCTGTTTAAGACCTCAAAGTTTAGTGCTCAGTTCAGTTTCTATCACCCTTTAAAATTCTACATCTTAGAGTTTCAAAGCAGAGGAGCTGCTGCTCTCTGATTTTAATAGTGATTAATAAGCAAATAAAATAGCCAAAGTGAAAATAACTCATTTTTAAAAATGTGGACATAACTGCAGACTGGGCTTCAGTTTAGACTCTATCTTTAGAAAGTCATAAAATGACTCCGAATGAATTCTTTGAAGTTAGGCCAAAGCTGTGTAGAACTGAGTTATTGTCTATTGTTTCAGTGTTAAAACTCCTCTGCTTTGGTGCCACCTAGAGGACAAACTTTCCATTCCCATAACTTGAATAAAACAAAAAAAGAAAAATACTTTATAAACCAAGTTTATAGTTTGTTGTTTGGTTTCATAATCCATCCATCCATCCATCCATCCATCCATCCATCCATCCATCCATCCATCCATCCATCCATCCATCCATCCATCCATCCATCCCCTCTACCTCTAGGACTAAGTCTGGTTAGTTGTATCAAACATGATGGATCATAATCCTCTCTTATAACATTAATATTGTTGTCATTCAGATGTACTATATTAGTCCTCCATTATTACCCACATTGTAATACAGATTGTATCTGGTCATTTAGAATGCAGTAAGTAACTGTGAGAACAGCAGATAGTAAAGAGTAGTTTAACATTTCCGTGTCACATCTTCACATGGATAATAGTGCATTCCTTTGTACTAGCAGCCTATTAGAGGCATTGAAAACCAATTAAAGATGTAATATAATATTACAATATGTAATATAATATTTTAAATCTGCTCCATACAGCAAGTCAAACATGTATTAACTGACTAAATAATGTTCTATGTGTCCAATTCAACACATCCTC